CATGCATACCAGCCCAGCCTCTGGCTTCTTTACTTTTCATTCCATCCAGGAAGAGCACACACCAACTGCTGAAACTTCCTTAGCCTGACAAAGGGTTTTTGAACCCAAAAGCTTGCTTAATAATTGTTTTTCAACTATTTAAGTTGGTCTAATAAAAGATATCAGATTCACGCAAAGAATCTTGTCTGCCATGTCCTTAGACCAACACAGCTACAACCTACACTCTTAGATACTGCACATTTTGTTTAGTACTTGCTTAATAAACACTAACTAAATGCACAGTAACTAGAGTTATTGCGCAGCAGTGCCATTGTACAGTTATTTTATGGCACTGTGCATTAGCTTAATAATATTGTGCAGTAAGCTATTAGCATGGTTTTTAACAGCCACACTACTGCACAGTTTTATTAGGCTAATATACAGTAAGTGTCTTGTGTAGACACTCGCAGTAGCTCTAAGAACAGCCAAATGTGAGAAAAGAGAGACTTTGAGGTTTCTTACTAATTCATTTTTGACCCTTCCATCACCAAACTGAAACTGAATAGGAACACAGCTTGCTCATAGAAACCCTAAAGCAATACTTCAAAAACATTTCAGTTAACATTAAAATTTCCATGACAATCCAGCAGTTTTTCAAAACTCATTAAATCTGTTCCCCTGTTTCATATCACATTAGAATAGGGCACAGTGGGCGTGTCTACAGGTTCATTAATGCACTGTAGTTTTTGCGCATTAAGTTTAGTACTTGGTTAACTAACTAACTACTGCATAGCTATTTAGGGACGCTTACTGCACAGTAGAGCTGTGGAAATTTTGCCAACTGTTTCATTTTGACACTGTTTCGACTCGTTTCGGGCTCAAAGCAATGAAATCAAAATCGAAATGAAACAGAGGGCTTTGAAACAGCCTTGAAACTAAATGAGGCCAGTTGAAACATTTTGAAAGTTTCAGAACGTTTTGAATTTCAAAGCAGCAAAATGTTGAAACAGCATCGAAACTTCGAAACTGTTTTGACAAAACAAAATGGAACAGTGCTTTTGAAATGAAACTAAACTCAAAACGAAATGCTGTTCCATTGAAACACAAGTCAAAGTGAAATGGTGATGTTTCGCACAGCCCTACTACGCAGCTGTATATTAGCATGTTTTTTGCCTGGCACGTTACTGCACAGTGTTATTAGGCTACTGTGCAGTTAGCACCTCATGTAGATGTGCCCAGTCTCTTCTATCGTGACTAACCCTCTACCTGGCCCAGGGCAGATGTTTCTGAATAGTCTTCAAGAGTTGTCACAGTAACATGCTCTCTACTGACTGAGAAAGCTTGTGCCAGCTTTTCTTTTCAAACTTTTATGTGGGTCACCTTGGCCCTACAAAGCCTCAAGGTTGCTTTGTTGTACATTGGTACTGTCAAGACCTGAGCCCTGCTATACATATTCTTACACAGAGCACTTTACCTGCAAAACAGTGATTGAACACTTTTTTGTCCTTTTCCAGCTTCAATTCTTTTACTCCTTTTTCTGGATCCTTCATTGAAAGATACAGAGCACTGTGCACAAAAAGAGGCATAGGACTTGTTAGCAGATGGACAGCTCTACCCATCTGGCACAATAATACAATCATAGAATCATAAAAAATGAGGATTGGAAGGTGCCTCAGGAAGTCATCTAGTCCAACCCCCTGCTCAAAGCAGGGCCATCCCCAACTAGATCATCCCAGCCAAGGCTTGTCTAGCCTTAAAAACTTTGTTCTACAGTTCCCCATACTTTTGTTTCAGCCTTCTTAAGGGAATGTCATCACCAGTGTGAAGAACCTGAAGGCCACCAACTAACACTGTAAATGGTCCTCTCAATGCAACTGCAGGACTTAGTTGAAGAGCAGATAAGTCATGTGACTACATGGAGCCAGCTCCATTGGGAGGTCTCACCAGGTCCTAGTCTGATTCTTTTACTACCTCTAGACACTGGACCGTGGGGAAAGTACACGAGGCCCACTCGTTCTGCTTTGGCAAGGGAACAAGAAGGAGCATCGGTAGCATGAAGGGAGAGATGCCAGGTTACAAGAACTTTACCAGAACTCTTACCTGCTCATTCCTTACTCTATTAAATTCCTCTTACAACTTCTCCCTGTGCTATTTGAGAAGTGGTAGACTGAGACCTTTATGCTCACTTCTCTTCAAAGTGATCATGCTTTAGGAGGTGCCACAGTAGTCTCAGCATTTCATGCCCTGAATTTCCTTCCTCTACAGTGACTTATTGCTTAATTGGTACAGTTCCACTTCCACTGTTTGAAGACCCAGTACAACTGGCAAACAAAACTGAATCCTCTGGGCCAAGTCCTGAGCCATTAATTGATCCGTTGTCAGGTAGACCTCATTAATTATTCTACATTTCCTTTTCCCAGCCCACTGCCAACTTGTTGGCAATACCTACCTATCAACTCCCAATTTTTGAGACAAAAACTTCAGCTCCTTTAATATCAAGAAGAGTTTACCACTGACTTAGAGGCCAGGATTTCACTCTTAAATTGAAATCTGTTTGGGTTAGGAATTCTCATTCGTTGTGTCTGGTACAGTGGGTCTCTGGCCTTGTTCAGGCTGCTAGGTGTTATATGATGTCAATGATAGTAATAAAGCTGTTTACAAAATTACTGTTTTAATAGTGTGGGGGGGAGGAACTTATGCCTATAAAGGACACCGGCATTTGACCATGTTAAATACTTAGGCTTTGCTAAACTGATACTTACAGCAGCATGGCAGACATGTCTGCATTCCTCTTCTAGTCTGAATAGTGACTTGAACATTCATGAAATTCAATTTTACTTTATTTGAAGCATCCAAACTAGAGCTGCTTGCAAGACATGCAGTTGCCTGGAAATGCTTTAGCAGTGCTTTGTATGTCCAATTTATTTATATTTCAGTGGCTGCAGTACTGATGTTTATTTGCTATTATTATAAAGAAATGCCTGATTCATATTTAAGTCGTGTTATAGATTAAAAAAAAAAACAAAACCAATTTTGAAAGGATACACAATCACTGTTACTGATACATTTTGCTGCACAAATTAAATGTAGTCCTCAGAGTTGCAGAAGGGGAACACTGGCCTGCCAGCAAGAGAATGAATCCCTTCTACAAGCTGGAGAATTCAGTCTGATGTTATAATATCTGGTACAACTCTCTATTTTCTATAGGTGAAAAGAGACTGTGAAAGAGAGACATTAACACAAACCTCAAATTGATGGTTTCAGGCAGTTTTATGGACCTTCTGGTGGATTTTCTGGCAAACTTTTGGCCTCCCTCAATGCACTGAATAGCCTTCTTTATGTCACGCACCCAGGCATCTCTCTCCTCAAGGTAGGCAGCTTGGAAAAAGTGTTCTTGTTTGGCTGTGGCAAGCTTGAAGACAAACTATAAAAACAACAGTGACTTGTAAAGGTGTCATTGCTAAATGACATAAAGAGGAAAGCCTTGGCAATGCAATTAAAGCATCTTACTCAGGTTCTGAAAGTGTGAGTTAGCCATGCTCTGGACTCATGCCAAAGGCTGGCCCAGCTGTAAATGGATGCATACTCCTTCAGGCTAGGGAGTCAAAGAAGGCTGGTTGTGATGGTAGCTACATCACCCCTTTCTGTGCTGTTACATACAGAATCTGGGTGCCTTAACTGTACTACCCCACTGGGAGGGACTAAACATAGCATCCCACAACCCCCCTTAAACCAATGGAACACATCTTGAAATTTGTGTGATCAGAACAAACACACTTTCTTGCAGCACTTTTCTGTCTCTCTTAATTCCCACCATACTTTTATAAACACCCACAGAATTATCTGTAGCATCAAGTGAGGGGCATAGGCGGGTGTTTCTTATCTGTGCAAGTGAGTGTAGTCCAGCAAAGTTATCAGCTGCTACACATTAAGCCGATTCAATCAGAAAAGAGAAGTGTGGTTGTGTTAGCACCGAGCCAGTTGGAATTAGGCAAAGAATGAAACCATGTAAAGTAAACTCAGAGCTGTTCCAAAGTTTAGAATACAGGTGCAAAGCTTTTGCATTTTGAGAGATAAATGTATTTCAGTCCAGATAATGAACGCCTTATTGGTTCATAGTGGTAAGCAGCTACTTAGACAATTTCAGTGGGCCTTTTCTTAAGAGTAAGGAATTTACAATGTGGCTGTTTCCTATTTATTGAGCATTTTAATAGGTCAGATCTTAAGACAGAATTCCCTTCAAGAGCTTGTCTACAAGGCTGCAGCAGAATCATGCTGGCTTAGACGTCAAGACCTGGTGCAAAGCATTCTATACTCAGTGGCATTCCTTCCATCTACTTCTACCCTGCATTAGATCAATGGGCTTTAGATTTTACTTTACATATCACATGACATTTAGTATGTGATGCCCCATATCCTGAAGCCCTTTTTCCCCTGTTGTCCCTAAGGGAAGGCCTCAGTGACTGGGATGGAACTTTGCCTGAGAAAGAACTGGGACAAAAACTGAAGTAAAAAACCTCAGGAGATGGACCAACAAAGTATTAGGATGTACGATTCTTGAGCTATTCATGCAGTCAGGAATCACATTTTCTCTATATAGTAAGCACATCACATGGATTTGATCTGCCATATGGATTTCATTGGCCTTCACCAAGAGCCTAATCTAAAGCTTACTGTAGGCAGTGGAAAGTTTCCCATTGACTTCTGCAGCCTTTGACTAGGTCCTGAATGAACCCCTCCTTCTTCAAGCTGGCATGTCCCTGCACACTTTGAAACCAAATGAGAACCCTCACTCATTCTGAGCTGCCTAATTCATTAGCTCCTCCTGCATGTTTGGTAAAGCAGAAGGACTCTGAAACGTGTTACGTGTTGTCACACGGATGATTAACTGCTAACTATAGACCCTTCTCATTTCCAAAGAAAATGCCTGCAACACTCTTGAAGTTCTGTTTGAGTGAAAGCCATAGCCTGAACTTGATTTAATCTGAGTTTCAAGTTGCATCCTGGGATTATTTTATCATCTGCCTGAGTTTCAGCTGAATGCCTCATAAGGAAAATGTTTCTATGACTGCACTGCAGCATCTGCACAAGCTACCCTTGTGAGTCAGAACTCACTCTTGCAATTCTTCCTGGTAGACAAAGGGGAGCCAAGCCAATAGAGACTTGTTAGTGGCTAATGCAAGAACACAGATTCCAAACAGCAGAACTAAATATTAAAATGCCAACAATGTGATGATACATTATTGTCTCCCCTGTCTCATTTTTATTAATTTATTTAGATTTTTTACATTTCTCCCATCCTGCAGCCTAGTCATTAACTAATTCATTGTCAGGCTTTACTCTCTCTAATGTTTGAAAAAACAGTGGTCCAGCTATGGCTAATAACAAATACTACCTGTCGCTCATCCACATTACATGAGTGTGGAGCAAATAGGTGCAGGATATACAGAAAGGTGAAAAATTATGTCAAGGCTTCTCATCAGTAGCCAAATCAGATTTTGGTCTTCTTTCTACTTAAGGCAGCTGCTGAGGCATCTATTTCCCTTTAGCAATGATAAATTTATCATACCCCTGCTTTTGAAAAAAGCACCACTGAATATTTTGTGACCACATTTATTAAAAGAGATGACATCTCCAGCAGCAAAGTGGTCCTAACAAATTATGGCTTAACGCAACCTCAGTATAGATTCAGATGCATGAAAACCACAAAGGTAAAAATACCAGCATCACATCTTGAAACATTATGTGTTTTCCTTGAAAGTCTGCCATCCAAATACTGAGCAGGCTCAATTCTGTTTACCTATTATGTGGCATCATCGTCATCAGCATCAACAACAAAAATCACAGCTAAATACTACATGACCAATGGCCTTTTAACATTGTTATGCCCAAAGGCATATTATTAAGTACTTTGTCAACCATCTCTTGGCATTCAACAGCTGTAAAAAATACTTACCATCCTTTTACCAAAATCCTGACATGGGCAAGTAAGAGAACTTCCTTTTAGAGGGATCATTCCTTTGGGACTGTTGTCAATCTTCTTCTTATAAAATTCAATTCCATCTTCTAGGAGTACTACCCACATTGGCTTCCAGGTATTAAACATGCTACCCTGCATTAGATCAAATAAATCAATGATGCATTTCATTCATTAAAGATTTGACATTCCATCGTTCATTAAAGATTTGACCTTCCAGAAGTAGGCACTTATATAAGAACGCAAAAACATTTTTTTCTCTTTCTACAACCATTTCCATCTACTTGTTATCCCACTAATTTGTTTCTTCAAAATTGCATCATATATATTTATCTGTCAGTTAGTCTTTCTTAAGATGCTGTATGTGGCAATACTTTGACATTTTGAATATTATTTGAAATTGAGCATCTAAATTGATCATTTACCACCATATTTAGGTGGTAGATTCAAACAATAGAGATACCGAAGCCAGTGAGAGTTAAGAGTGTTCAGCAAATCACAAACCCTATGGAGACAGACTTTCAGGGATTCTGTAAATCCACAATTCCCAATAGTGCTGATGGGAGGCACAGCCATTCAACATCTCTGAAAAATCCAGTTCCTGTATATTGATTTAGGTGCTAGCATTAAGTCATCCAAGGTTGAAAATGTAGCCACTGTCATTTTCATTGAAATAGATATAAAGTATTCATAAAAACATATTGCTTAATTTTTGCATTATGTTACCATTTTGTTTTACTTAAAAGTCCCATGAAAAAGACATTACATCCAAACACATTAAGGGCTAGAAGGGTCTAGCCCTTCTAGCCCACATAGAGGGCTAGAAGGGTCAAGTAGTTGCCCAACCTGAAAAGGTGTATTTGCCTTTTAAATTTAGCTTACAAAGCTCTTCTTCCAATTACTAAGGTACAAGCACTAGATGTGGTTTGATAATTGACATTTGGGAATACATCCTGTACACACTGAAATCCATGGCACACCTGTCATTGACTTCAGAGGTGCAAGATTAGGTGGTATCTAGCAATTATAGTAGACCCTAAAATTTCTTGGGCACCTATCACTGTCACATTGGCAGGATGGGTTGTGCAGCATGATCTACTTGCCAAATTTTCAAAATTGGCTACTGAGTGCAGATGCCTGAGTCTCTGTGAAGCATAAAAGGTTGATTTTCAGGAGGGCTGTGGATTCTTTTAAGAAGCCAAAGACAAACACCCAAAAACTAAGTGCACTAAATCAGAGGCCACTCTGGAAAATGTTAGCTTTAGTCTCCTTGATGATGAGCATGTAACTTACTGCATGTAGTATGGGCATGGAGGCACTGACAGAAGTGACATTTGTCATGCAATCAGCCCCCTGAAAAGGCTCTACAGCTGCACCCTGACAGAAGTACATGGCTGTAGAGCACTTTAAAAGTACCTGATCATGTGACAAATAAACCCTTAGCTTATGAGGGTTCAGATGAAAGTGCTCCAAAGCAGCATGCATTTATCAACTTGTCAGTCCCAGTACGTGATCCGGGCTGCGTTGATGCAGCCCAGCCCCACCCCTGGTGCTATCTGCAGGATGTGGGAGAGAAGGAAGGGGAGTGAGCTACAGGCTAGTGTTTTCCCAATCTGAGCGGGGGTGGAGGGGTAGATTGAAGCACCCCCACCTTATAACCGCCCCTCCCCCCCAGCCCTCTCCTCCTCCAGCTCAAGCTGGGCAAACCCCAGCCCTGAGCTCACTCCCTTTCCTTCTCCCCCCTCCCATCCTGCAGACAGCATAGGAAGTGGGGGCAGGGGGCTAGGGGAGAGAGACTACAAGTAAGCAACCTCTCTCTGCTCAATCAGTTCGTAAGTGGAGCTTGATCCTACCCTCCCCACCTCAACCAAACATCAAATGTCTGTTGGGTTGAGGGGGGCCCTCTAACTCATGTCACTTTCTGTAAAGTGCCATGAGTGAGAGCGGGACCCTGAGACACAGCTTTATTCACTGCCACAGACAGATGCCAATACAGAGGTCTCACCTGTATCAGGCAGTCCCTCAGTGCAGGCTTTTACCTTCTTTGTGCTGCCAAATGAGCAGACTGAGGCATGGAGTCCCAGCTGCTCTTACAAAGTGGTTTGTTTCAATTCATTACACCTGACAGCTGCATGCTGTGCTGCCACATTTAAATGCCATGTGTCAGTGACAGCTGATTGGACAGGAAATTCTTTAGGATTTTTTTTTAAACAAAGAATTCAGAGGTCATATCTTCTCCATCCCATTTTGCTCTTCCCCTTAAAAAAACTTTTTTTTCTGAATCAAACCTGAAGTTCTAGAGTGGGGGAAGAACTAGTTATGGAACTTCCTGTACCTACTGACAAGAGGGCTTGCTTCCTCATGTCGCCATTTGAAGTTCCTGAAACCGGAAACCATTATTCAAAAATGTAAATTCCCATGTAAATGGCTAGCTATAATTCAAGTTATAAAGCATTCATAAAAATTGAAAAGAGCTACCCAAAAATACCCCATAGAGCTACTCCAAAAATAAGCAAAGCACATACCACATCCTGGCTTGACTTAGAAATAATGAAGAATAGTTTACAAGCTTATCTGCTGGCTAAAATTTAAGGGGAGGGTGGGGAGTCAAATTAGGGTACAGAGCCAAGTTCACTGGCTTTTTGTGGCCTTTGTTCACTGTTATATCTTGGATCAATACAGCACCATTTCCTGCTCTTTTGCATATACCTAAAAAGCCATAACACTCCTGAGGGCCACATATAACTATGCTTTACCCACATAAAATATTTTCAGAACAAGCCATTTAGCATGAAGAAGAATGACAGGCTCTAGTCTATCATCAGAAAACCCAGAGAAGTCCAAAAACTCCATGCCTAGGACTACCTAGCTGAAAAAAGCAGGCAGGATTTGGCTCAACATCTCTTGATACCTGAAGGAGATTCTTTCAGTTAGCCCAAGAGCATAGCTAAGATGGAAGTTCCCCAAATAGACAGAGGGAGAAAAAGATATTTTGGGGGGGGACTGAGTGCACGCACGCATGCGTGCACACACTACCCACCCCCCACACAGCAGGGGAAGGGCCAAGACAGATCAAGGACCCTGCAGTGAAGGAGGGAGTGGGGCAGAGGCAGGGTCAGGGGCTGGGGTGAATAGGGCCCTGGGGCTAGGGTGGGTAGTGGGAGGGTTGGAGCCTGGGTAGCTCATCCAGGAGCTCAGGGGAGCTCCCACCACTGCGTATACCTCTGGGGAGGCCCAGGGGGCATGTGCCCCCTCCCATCTGTGCACAGGGCAGAGGTGGGCTGCCAGTATGTGCTGGGTTCTGGGCTCCACTGCTGCTGCCTCTGGAGCTCTGCAATGCCATGTACATCCCACAGCTGGGTAGGCAGGGGACATGTCACAGCCCAGTGGTGGCAGGCACATGGTGTTGCACAGCTCTGGAGGCTGCAGCACCAGGGCGCAGAGCCCAATGCACAGAAGCAGCTTGCCTCTGCCCCATGCATAGATCGGGGGGCACATGCCCCTGGGCCTCCCCCAAGGTGCACACAGTGGCGGGACCCCAGCCGCATTCTCAGACAAGCCTCCCAGGCTCCGAGCATCCCATGACCCAGCCCAGCTTGGGTCCTATTCACCCCAACCTCTGTCCCTGCCTTTGCCCCATTCCCTTCCGCACTGCGGGACCTCAATCTGCCTCCCCCCACAAACCCCTTTCACTTCACAGAGTAGACTGATACTTGCCTGCCAGTGCTGGGCAGTGATCCACATGTGGGGCTGTGATCCTGACTGCATGAGCGCCCCTTCCCACTCCTGCTGCAGCCGCCTGAAGCCTGCAGCCAAGCTGCCCTGAAGCCCTACCCGCTGCCCTACATTTTCGAGGGCTGAGCCCTGTTAGCCATGGCCTTCTGCCACTTTTGTCTAACAGCTTTAAGAACTCTTCACTTAGCAGCCTCCTATAACTTCCCTACAATTGAACTTCTCCTTTCTTTTACATTGGTACTACTGCATGACTAGAAAATGAAGAATTTCCCTGTGTTTACATGGCCGAGTGTACAGAACTTTACAGTATAAATCCTATCAAACAAAGACATCAGACCAGACCTTCAGTGGGCATTAATAATCATCAAAGTCAACCAAACCAGCCTCAGATAACAAACATGTTCATAGCCTCTAAAAAGCAGAGAGGAGAAGGGTACTAGAGGATGGTCTGCATGCTTTGTATTCAGTTTTGACTATGAAACGTGCTCGTTTGCCTTTGAAGAGGCAGATGTTTATTTTCATTCTGTACTGAAAAGCCTTAAAGTAAAAATATCTTTGGTGGGTGTCAGAGTTTAGATAGCTAATTTGTGCTTCTTGCCTCAAAGTTTTATGAGGACTAAGCCTAAGACTCCATCAACTTAAGATCTTCAATTGTGGATTCTTGGTAGTCCCTTTGTCATGTCATTGATACCTAAATAGGACACAGGTAAGTCCTATTTATTTACTTCAGGAGCTGTCTCTGGCTTCAGTCTCTGTCTCTGAAACAACACTGTCACCCAGTACCATAGTAAGGGTCATTTATTAAGGAAATGGAGCATTCTCACGGGCTGCTCCAGCATGCAACCCATTTCCCAGCATATCAAACTTTCATACATGTCTGCAGAAGATGTACTGTCAAGATATACATGGGAGGTCACCATGGCAGTGACATCTCCCCCAAGACCCCAGCAAGGGTAGCTGAGGGTGCCTATGCAGCAGAAGGGCTCTGTCCATCACCCCCAGCTGCAGCTGATGGTTGTCACTTGGTGGCAGTGGCAGGGTTGGGGAGAGGGGTGGTCTGGCAGCGTCCTGGGCTGGGCTCCAAGCTCCCCCCAACCCAACAGGCAAACACCTGGTGGGTTCAGTGGTGTTCTAACTCATGGCGCTTTGTGTAAAGCACCATGGAGTGCCTCCTTAATAGTCTGCCTGCACCTGTGTACATGCCCATGGTGGCTGCCCAACTAGAAATATCTAAACAGAGAAATTATCCAAAATGATATAAGGGAATACACACAGGCAGTGATGCAGCCCTGTTGACATGGCATTCAGAAATACCACAGCTTTCTTTCACTAACTTTTCAGAGAAACTATATTCCCTTGCACACTTATATGGGTCCTATAGTCAAAAACTCCTGCTTAAACTACAGGAAACCAACAGCTATTATTTCCACTCAAGAGCTGTGGGAGGGCTGCACCTCACACCCCATAGGTTGAGAAAGGTCAAATTCACACTCTATCTAATCCTCATAAAGCTTCCCAAATAAACCTTTTATTCAGGTTCAATAGGGTACTCTGTGCCAATTTCAGCAAATTTTCTTTGATCTTTCTCCCTTTCTCTTCCCTTCTGCCCTCTCCCTCCCACCCCCCCTGCAAAAAAAGAGGGAAAAACCTTTTTACTGTAGAGTGCTCTGGAATAAATACAAAATATGTTTGCATTCTTTTTACAGTGGTCCAAGAAGCTTTCATTGCTACCAAGTGTATATACATTTTAAAAATAAACAGAACTAAATTCGCCTTAATGCTTTGCTCAGGGAATTGGTTTTTCTTTCTGTTTTTCTTACAAAAAATGCAGAAAATCTTTTTACAAAAGATGTTAAATTCCCACCCAGTCCAGCTCATGTCAGCTGTAACCCAGTTTGCTCGCTTACCTTCTTAACCAAGTATCCTTCCCTTATTCGCCTTGGTTCTCGCTCCATATCCAGGGTAAAACTTCTCTGGGTCCTGATCACACTGATAGCTACAACCAGTCTGAGACAAAAGGCTCTGTGGGTTGCTGTTTCTACACCCGTGTCACTTTCACAAGTTCCGCTGCTTGTCAATCACATGAAAACAAGCCTATTTCCTCTTCTGGGGCAAGAGATAGGGAAATTCAGAACTAGGCATGCAGCTGTACGTGTTCCTTGCAAGAGCATAGACACCAGGTCTCTGAAATGCCCAACTGCAGTAAAATAATACCAGTAGTGAGATGGGAAGAAAATTCCTATAAAATAAATGCAGCATTCAAACTCCACAGATCTGGAGAAATAAGTAACCATTTCCAGCTTGCTAAGGTGTGATCTCTGAGCCTTGTTTGTTGGTTTAGTAACATGTCATACCCCAGCTTAGAGTAAGGCAAAAGCATCATAAGATGAATGATACTCCATTTTTATCTCTGCTAGTGAACATTTTGCTGGGTTTTATGAAGACTAGCTTACAGTAAGCTTGTGTCTGGTTGTTTGTGTCTGGATACTTGGCAGTACAGATGACCTCATTTGGTTTAATGATAAAGTGCCCCCTGCTGATTTCAAAAGCAACCTGATTCTTAAAAGGAGAGCTTTTGTTGCTGGAGGGAAGTTGATTATCTGAGCAACACAATAAGAAAAGAGCACGTTTCCTGAAGATTTCTGAGTGGCTTTTACAAGTGACATAGCTCAGATGACTACACTTGAAATAGTTTAGAAGAAAATAATTTTCCTTTGCTACAACACTTTACATACAGTTACTCCTGCTATTCCTCAAAGTCAGTCACTCCCGCTTTTTCTTCTGATGTTTGCATGGGTCTTTCATGCAGCAACTCTAGAAAAGTATCACACTTGGAAACAGAGGTGTGAGCAAAACCCAGGAGGTGATAATATTTGAACTGTAAGGCAGTTGGCTTTTGGGGTTTTGTTTCCTTTAATCTGACTAAATGTCAGATTTACAACAACGTGTCTTTCATTGCGGTTACAATTAAATGGCTACACAGCCCTCTCAAAACAGCAACTCCTGCTGAAGTCAGGGGCAGCCACCCTTCTACCACAATGTATTGTAACCACTGAATTGGCATAAATGTAGCTCTTGATGCCAGCTCAGCAATGCTGCTCTTTGTGTGTACCTGAATGGGGATCTACCTTGAAGATTCTTTGCATGGAGAGGAAATGTAATTTAATCATTAAAACTCTGGCTTGGGTTTATTTCCGAGTTTGCAGGACACTAACCTCCATTTTGGGTGTTAGAAAGACACTTCCCTTCTTTTCCTTGTGTTTTCATTTCCCATCCCAGCATTTGCCGATTTACAACGAAAGCTCAAAGTATCAGGGCTATTCAATAATAAGTTAATAACGATACATCAGTGATGGTCAATCAGCATCTATGTTATCTGTTGCCCTCTCCTGCAGTAAGCAATACAGGCCTTACACTTGCACAAGTCCTCTCTCACAAAGCTGATTTTCATCCGTGCAAAAACGTGGGCGCTCAGTTTGCATATGGGTTTCCTGAACACTTCACAAAAATCTGATTATATTTGTAACATAAGACTGTTGTTCCAAAGTCAGGCCCCATCCCCCATATTGTTTCCGTTTTACAAAAATCTATATTACAATTTGTGAGTGGCCAAGCTTTGTTAAAGTGCAGCAAACACTTCCTAATTGTCCTGCTGCACTAACTTAACAATAGCATAGTATCTTTTAAATATGCACCTATATTGATAATAAGAAGCCACACAAGTAGTTTTGGTCAGGTGCAGACAAGTCTTTTCCTCTTTGAACAAACTCATGCCAAACCCAACTAATTTCAAGTGATGTGGTAATTAATCTTGGCTCTTTCTCCTACCATTTTCGAATATGGCTCCCCTCTAGAAAATCACCTTGAGATATGACCTAGATTGCTGCTTCAGGATAATGGAAGAGGAGCACATAATACAGTCCTAGCTGTCTGTTCTCACTAAATGAAAGGCCAGCCCTCCTTGTCTTGCCAGCCTGAAAAATGATATCGAGATGAAAGATGGTTCAAGTGTTTTTTGTCGTTGGAAGGTCGTGACACCAGTAGCGGAGACAAAGAAACTTTACTGCTGAAGGTCATCTTGGTATCTAAATAGAAAAGTAAAACATTATTATAATAACTTCTTCCCAGGGTCTTTAAGTACTTAAAATATAAATTAATGAAGCAATTAACAGTTTATTAGTGCAAAGGAAAACTTTGTTTTTCCTAGTGTTTTAGCGCAAATGCAAACACTAAGTTTTGGCAAGGTGCAGTATAAATTGATCTGACTGTATTAAAATTCAGGATTCTCTCTCTCATACACATAGTAATTAATCTGACCAACAGTCCAATATCTCACATGCATTTAAGATGAACTCTAGGGTTTTTCCATTGGTGTTGCTTGTGATTTTTTTTCAGGGTTAAATTTTTAGGAAGGTCTTGAAACTTTAATTTATCTGAGTCTATCTGAGAGATTCAGACACACATTCAAAAGTATGTAGGCTTCATTATTTCATTATTTCTTCATAGATCTTTTTTCATCAAGTCGTTCCCTTCCTACTTCAGAAAGGTAAGTCGTTTTCCTCTTTTTTCCTTTTATTCTCACTCTCCCTTTTGACAAACTAGTGGGTTTTTTTCTGTAACCATATGGGTCATGAAAAAACCCCAGCCAAAGTCAACACCTAGCCTTTCTCCCTTGCTTTATTTTCGGAAAGCCAAACAAATTACCAAACAAAGCCTTCCCTCTGCAAAGGATGTTGAATCATGTGTCTAATCAATCTCCATTCTGGATCAACAATTATGAGACCTAGAAGACTGATGTAGAGAAGTTGGGCATTGGATCCAATTGGGGACTAAAGTTTTATTAGGGTGCAGTGATGCTCCTACCTGTACTTTGAAATACCTTAAGTACTCTTAAGTACTTGACTGAAATGCCTTGCTCTTCCTCATGGGATCAGGCCAAGCAACAGATGTGGGGTCAGGAAGGATTTCTTTCCCCCCCAGTTCAAATTAGTAGGGACCTGAGGGAGGGAGGGAAGAAAGGAGGAAGGAAGCATGCCTTCCTTCCTCTTGATTGGGGGACCTGGTCTTCTTCCTAGAATCATCTGAGCATATATTAATCTAATACTTTCTGTGCCATTACTGTGTCTAGACACTGGCAATGCCTTTGACTCCTCTGATTGTCTCCCATGGAGTGCTTTGTACTTTTTTGGTATGTGGGGGGCAGGTTTGCTTTTCATAAGATGCTCTGTAGCTGTCTGATACTTGAGGTATAGGCCATTGGGCGGTCCATCTGGTGGTTTGCACAAGCCATTAGCAGATGTCCAGGAAGTAGCCAGGGTCTAAGCCAGAGGTCAGAGTCTAAGCCAAGGCTGAAACACTATACAAACCAAGACACAAGACTGAGGCTGAGGCCAAAGTCCAAGCAGGGTCAGCAACAGATGGTCAGATCTAGAGGCAGGGCACAGAGGCAGGGGAACAGCAGAGCAGTCCAAGGACAGTAGAAGCCTTGTTATCCAGACTACTTCCCCAGGAAACAGGAAGCCTTATGTAGGTGGGAGGGTCCAATCAGGGTCAGGAGTCCTGGGCCAATCAGGGACCAGCTATAGAAAGCTTTCCCCTTGCATAGAATCATAGAATTATAGCTAATTAGGGTTGGAAGAGACCTCAGGAGGTCATCTAATTAAACCACCTGCTCATAGTAAGACTATCCCCAATTATATCATTCCAACCAAGGCTTTGTCTAGCCAGGTTTTAAAAACCTCCAAGGACGGAAACTCCACAACCTCTCTGGGTAATCCGTTCTAGTGCTTTACTACCCTCCTCATGAGAAAGTTTCTCCTAAGTTCTAACTGAAACTTCCCTTGCTGCAACTTGAGACCATTGCTCCTTGTTCTGTCATCTGCCGCCACTGAAAGCAGTCTAGCTCCATCATGTTTGGAACTGCCCTTCAGGTAGTTGAAGGCTGCTATTAAATCCCCTCTCAGTTTTCTCTTCTCCAGACTAAATAAGCCCAGGTCTCTCTGCCTTTCCTCAAAAGTCATGTGCCCCAGCTCCCTATTTTATTTGCCCTCTGCTGGACTCTCTCCAGTTTGTCCACATCCTTTTTGTAGTGGGGGCCCAAAACTGGACACAGTACTCCAGATGTGACCTCACCAGTACTGAATAATCACTTCCCTGGATCTGCTGGCAACACTGCTACTATTCCAGCCCAGTATGCTGTTAGCTGCCATTGCAACAATAGCACACAGTTGGCTCATATTCAACTTATTGTCCACTGTAAGCCCCAGGTCCTTTTCTGCAGAGCTGCTGCTTAGCCAGCCAGTCCCCAGCCTTGACTGCTGAATGGGACAGTTCCTTCCTAAATGCAGGATTTTGCACTTGTCCTTGTTGAACCTCATGAGATTTTTTTTGGTCCAATTCTCCAATTTGTTGAGGTCTCTCTGAATCCTAGTCCCACCCTGCAGCATATCTATTACTCCCACCAGCTTGGTGTTATCCACAAACTTGCTGAGGGTACACTCCATCACATCTTCCAGATTGTTGATGAAGAAATTGAACAAAACCAGCCCCAGGACTGACCCCTTGAGCACTCCACTTGATACTTGCTGCTCACTAGACATCAAGCCAATGATTACTACCCTTTGAACCCAACAATCCAGTCAGTTTTTTATCTACCTTACAGTCCATTCATCTAACCTGTGCATCCTTACATTGCTGGTGAGAATGTTGTGGGAGACTGCATCAAAAGCTTTACTAAAGTCTTTGACATTCTGCCTTTTGTCATGAGCTATGGCATGGTGGAAGACTGAGTTGGTGCTTGTTCTCTGGTCAGAAGTGTGGGATTGGTTTCTGACAGTACCTGTGGTGGATCTGAAGAGCCTGAATGGACAATTTTTACAACTTTTACAGTAAATGGTTGCCTGCAATGCAGAGGGTTGGGCTCAGTGGCCCAGGAGGTCCCTTCTAATCCTATATCCCTGTGCTCTGGATACAAAAGAAGGACCACATCATAAAACAAAAAAAACTAGGGCATGCCTTCTGTGCTTGAATATGACCTCTCTGCAGAGGTATATCTAGGAATTTCAGTGCCCTGGGCAGAGATTCTGTTGAGAGCCAGAGAGTGGAAGTGAGGAGTGCTGTAGGATGCTTCTGGTGCCCCTCTCTATATCAGAACTGGTGTCCCACTTGCCCTGCCATAGTTGCACTAGTGGCCCTCCCAAAGGGAAGCAGGGGTTGGCTATTTTGCTGCACTTCCCATTTCCACACACCCCTCCCTGGGCAGTGTGTGTGTCATGGATCAGGTCTTGGATTGGGAACCTGTGTGAGAGAACAACATACTAGGACTTTTCTCAAGTTGTCATTCTCCACTACAAAAACCACGGCTCTTATTAAAAAGCCAAAATAAGTCTCTAGCTATTACAGTTGCAAAGAACAGTTCAAATATGTGTCACCAATGAAGCAGCATCCACCTGAGTTCAAAACTGGTTTTGAGAGGTGTGAATTGTCTCATTTGCAGAAATACAATATTAATGAAGAAGCCCAGGGATGATTGCATCAATGATCATCACAGCATCTGATGAAGTATCCTTATACTCAAGAAAACTCATGCTATCCAACTTTGATTTAGTTAGTCTATAAGGTGCAAAGCTGCCCTACCTTTGTGTAAATAAAAGCCTTGCTATCTACCATATTTTCTCACATAGCGCACACCCATGAATATGATGTGCAGTGTTTTTGAAAGGCACCATGATGAAAAATGTTCATCTTTTGGTGAGGGACCAATGCAGGGGCCTGAGAGGCAATGTCATCCAGTTGGGAAGCTCCCTACAGATTCAGAGATTTGGAAGGAAGCAGTGGCACTCAATTAACATGGCTCACAGACCCTCTCTGGGAGCTGTGGCAAGTAAGGCTGCC